GCTCGATTACAAGAAGCTCGGCAGCAATGAAGAACACTCATATGAATTACTACAGAAAGGACAAAAGAAGACAGGAAAAATGTAAGATGAGTGAAAAAAGAAAAAATGTCGAAAAGAGTCGAAATATCACATCCTGATGGTTATGACGCTTCTACCCTTCGCTACATTTTTTCTTTTCCACTTAATTTCCATTGCGCTACGCCAGCCTGTGCTTAGTTTCGCTAAAGTACAAGTCGAAAAATGTCGAAATCTTAGAACAGAAGCCGATTTCGCTGAACAAATCTGTACGTATGCCACAAAATTGGAGTTCAAACGAAACCATTTTGGTCGATTTCGCTGATATGCCAGAAAACTGGGGTTGAAATCAAGTCACTTTAGCCGATTTCGCTGACCAAATCTGTATACTCGTCAGAAAATTAGGGTTTGTCACAAATTGTGATGAGATGAGCAGGTAAAAGTATGAGTCAGGACAGATTAAAAACTTCAGGACGAGAAAAGTGTTACTAAAACACTCCAGAAATTCCTTAACTCCCATCCTTCTTCTTCCATCGTCTCTCAGTATAACAAAACAAACGAATTTATTGTCTACTCGGACGTCTAAGAAATCAAGCCAAGAAAAAAAAAGCGACAGGTTTACATTCCAAAAACTAAGAATTCCGTAAAAATCGAGAATCAGGTACTGGAAAGACTAAAACTGGGAAACTACACTGTGAAACATGAAAGAATCTCAATGACAGCATACCAGTGACGATCTGCTCCTCGGGAGGCTTCTGATCATTCTTTTTGAATGCAAAGTCGCCGAGCGCCCGCGATAGTGCTAGGTTACCATTGACACGATTAAATTCTACCCAGCCACCGGCTGCAATGATCCGCCTCGCTTCGTTCTCATTCGCTGGCTTATGATCAAAACTGAGCGGTAACGCTGTGCCACAAACACTGGCAACTGCTCTCGAATCGCCAACATTACCTGCAAATAAAGCATCCAGCGCCTCCACAGCAAAGAAGAAGAAAACTGCCGCCTCTTATTTGCAA